ACCAAATGCTTTTGGCTTACATTGAAGAACATAGATATGGAAATTGGAAAAACCTCCCAGCACCATGTTCTTCAATGTAAGCCAAAAGCTTTTGGTCTTTCTCTGCTATTTTTCTAATTAGTAAGCCAAAAGCTTTTGGTCTTACTCTGCTATTTTTCAAATTACCACCTTGTGCTGGGAGGTTTTTCCAATTTCCATATCCATGTTCTTCATTGAAGCCAAAAGCTTTTGGTCTTCCTCTGTTGTCCATGTCCCTTTTTTCAAGCCTACTTTCTCGCAGCAAGGGGACCTACCCATTTCAAAGAAATCTCCAATTGTAAAACAAGGAAAAAAATAATTTATATATAGCACAAAGTTGGTTAGTGGCATCTGATCAGGCATCTTTCTTAAGGAAGGAAAAAGAATGTTTGTTACATTTGTGTATGCTAACTGTTTCTGGAATGAGCGTCGAGAACTTTGGGAGCAGATCAGAATATGCCAGGTGATACGGAACCATGGCTTATTGGTGGTGATTTTAATGTTGTTTGAGCGAATGACGAAAAAGTGGGAGGGCTTTATTTTTTTATAGACGTCCAAAGCTAGAATTTAACCAATGTATTCAGGAATGTGGTCTGGTAGATTTACCTTTTGAAGGCAGTTGCCTAACTTGGTGTAATGGTAGAGCAGGTAGGAGAAGGATTTGGGCTCGGCTAGATACCATTTTCTTGGAACAATTTAGTTCGTCAAAGCTGGTCAATATGGCTCGCTCAACATATGACCATTGTCCAATGCTGATATGAATAATAGAGCTCATGAGACTACACAGCATTTAAGATAAACAAACTCTGTTTGAATAATGGAAAGCACGTGTCATTGATGTTTTTCAAAAACTTGATCGTTTAAAAATCCGCAAGTAAATGAGATCGGGAACAAGTAATAAAATAGTGTGTAAAGTGTCGAACCCACAAGAACTGCGTATTCAATCGAGTTCAAATTAATAGTAACCTTAATCGAATAACAAATAGATTAAGTTTTCTATACTAATATCTAAATTATCGATTAAACTAGAAATCAATTTAATTGGTTTGAATTCAAATATGTGAAAGTATTGTTAAGATGTCGAATCTCCTTTATTTATCCATTTTTAGCACAATGAGTTAAGGTGACAATTTGTAATCAATATTGTTGGTCAGTGCTCCTAATTTAATTGAAAACTCTCTCGATAGTTATTAAATTTATCCCCTCATATGACCTTCATATCTCTCGATGAAAGATGTAAACATGATAAATGCATGAAACGATCTAAAACATCTATGAAACCATGTAAAGTATAGATGTATATCTCTATCTCATATCAGACTTTACAATATTTATTATTTTTAGCTAAAAACATATTATCTCTCTTGATAATAATATATTACAATGAATCATTTTAATTAGCAGATAATTAATTGAAAAGTCGGTGAAAACAATAATAAACATTCAAGAAAATAAATATACAAGTCCCCTTCAATTATCTCACAAAAATTATGAATTTTCCTCCTTTGATGATAATAAATTATGAATATTGGAGTATAATATGTATATGAGAGGTCTTAGATACATATTCTGCTGTTAAGTATTTGTAGGAGTTGAAAATTGGTTGAAAATCACGTCCAGATTAACTTCCAAAAGAGTTCTAATCGAATAAGGAAAGTTCCATTCACGTACATATTTTTTTGTCTCTACACAGTAGTCAGTATTTTGGCCATAATTTTCTCTCCTGATATCCAATTTAGACGATTCCAATTCTAATGTTTACTATGCCAAAAAAATGGATTTCAATTTTCAACTAAAAATCTGGAATATAACTTGTGCGATTGAAAATTGATTTTGATAATATTTTGATCATATTCCATTCTTTTTTGAGATCTAATTCTATCAATCAAATTGTCTCCTAACAATCTTCAAAGTATCTTCTTGTGTCCGAATCAACTATTGAATAATTATAATTTGGTCCTCAAACTTTGGATTTTGCCATTTTCACCATTTTTCGCTTCTTTCTTTTCATTCTTTGTTCAATCATTGAGTTTTACCTATATAACATAAAATACAACAATTTAAGATATTTTTTTGTCAAAAAACTATCAAATCTCGTTATTTTAGACTTCAAATAAGTGTATAAAATACAATTATCAGATTTTTTAATAGAATTTTTTTATTTATAAGTTTGGCTCGTGAATTTTTTTTTTTAATGAGCGACTATACTAATAGGATGTGACAGCAAGAGGTTATGTTATTATTTTGAAAGAATACCACATAATACTAAAATCCTTAATAGAAAAAATGGTAATACTAAACTAGATTAATCACCAAATATGCATCCAAAGCACTGCACAAATAATTGATAAAAGGGAAATCCTGATAACAAGAAGAGCATGTCTTGCAAGGTAAAAAAAATGTTGTTTATTCCTATGTTACTGTCAAGTTAACAGATTACACACTTCATATCTGATCAATAAAAAAAATTACTTATGACCTATATCAGTATCATATATAAAAGCAAATACAGTTGTTATTTAAGCAATTTCCATAGCATCCTCCATGCTGCTGAATACATGGACGGTTGCAAACATCTCTACATACTCTTCCAACTCTTATGTCCCCCTTGTCACTTTTCAGACATGTGCCTACATTCGACATTGGGAAAATATGTGATAAATATAAATAATAAGTGAAAACTGCTTATGACATGAATTCAAATACTCGAGTATACTTGACAATAAGCTAAATAGAATTTAGGAACTATCTAGGTGTATAATTCAATGAACAGATATAGTAACGATCGTTTGATTCATGGGTGGACCCGAGGGGGGTCCTTGTTGCCCCCCACTTTTGAGATTTTTTTTT